CCCCCACCCCCACCCCCCCGCTCTACCATGCTCAGCATACCCTCCAGGTGCTTAAGGAACTCACAGTGCCTCTGTACTCAAAAGCTGGTTTGTACAAGTATTACTTTCATCCTTGTCCCAGTTGAGTTGTCATCTTTCCTGGTGTGAAATCTGCCCTCCTTTATGACATTACAATGAGCCTGTTTATAGTGTCTGATTCTGAAGACATAAACCTACAAGGAATCTAGAATGCTCTTGGATATGTTACTGCTTAGTTATTGGGTCACAAGTTCAATGGCATACTAGAATACTGAAGAGAAGTTGTTAACCATGTTAGCCTGAAGTCAAGCAGAAGGCAGGGTAAATTTGCACCTTGATAGACTAAATAAATCAGAAATCTATAAACACCTTTTACAAACATCATTGGTTCAGTGAGACAGCCGGGTATCTTTCTTCTCTGAACCAGAATACAGGAAGAGCCAGGGAGCAAAATGCACTTGAAATACAATTGCAGGATTTCTGCATTGCCACAGCATGGCTGTAAATAAAACAAAGGAGAATTTTCTACTCAGCAAAAGTATCTTTGCAACTACAGTCAGCAGAACTGACGCCATCTGATTAGAGAGGTTACTGGCTCTTAGTAACACAGCCAAGTGCTTCTCCCCTGTGGGGAATTGCAAGTTGGTCTCTCAGAGAACATTAGGATGCAGATCAGCCTGACCACTTCTGTTACAACTGCATGAACATGGGAGCATAGAAATGCATTATCCATAACAGCCAATTTTTCACCTATTTTCAGTGACTGGGGGCTAAGGCTTGCTTAGCGAGCTGTGGTTGAGTACCTGTAAGGTACTCATATACTTCATGACTCACTGAGGCCAGCAGAGAGAATCTAGGCACACTGTGGATCACGATTGTCATCTCCTCAGCGCACAGCACAAGAAGCAAAGATGTGTTTGAGAGGCTCCTCAAACTGACGTTTAAAATCCTGCCACCAAAAGCAAAGGAAAGGTGAGCACAATTCCCCTACCTATCTCTCTGACTACTATGAGGGATGACTTTCTTTTGCGGTTCACAAAAATATTTTTGAAAAGAAATTATTTGTTGCCTTTGGCATGGATCAGCTTGCAATCAGTGACAGATACTATTGATTTTCATGTAAAACAGTGATAGGGGCTAGATAAACCCTTAGGGGGATATTTCCAGAACAGCTTTCCCATGGCAAGAAAACTACAGGAGGCCCTCATTCTCCATTTCTAGTGATGCAAGTTAAAGACTGCTAAAGGTACTAATACATGTATAAATCATAGTTTTCAGAAATAAAGTACAAGCATTTCCAACAAATACACTTAATATGTGCTTGTTTGCCAACTGGCATTAGGAGAACAAAAAATTCTCTCTCTCTATTCCACCAAAAATATGTGCTTTTGTGTTTTTGACAAATCTACGCTGGGAAGTTTTGCAGGTGAGGTTTCTGAGGTTTACTTCTCCATACAGAATAATGTGAGCAGAGATGAATTTATTGTTTTACTGATAATATTCAACCTTACTTCTTTTATTCAAATCAAGAGTCTCCATTATCACCGCTTCCTCTACACCTGACTGAAAGAGTCATGTATTATTACTGAGCTTTGAATATGGAAGTAATAGGTGGACAGAAATGAAACAGACAGCTCAGCATTATTGTACATGAAGTATATATATATTTAAAGACTGTTACATGCATACATTCATTATAAAACAGAACACAGTTTTCGTATATTGAATGTAACTAAGTATAATACAAACAAATACAGTAATATAGAGGACCCAAAATTATTTGAAAGCCCACATATTAATTTCTATTTCATTTTGCTTTTTAAAGTGATTACGTAAATACTTTCAAAACCATGAAGATTGTGTGCCAGTTCAGTATTTTCATATTTAGGTTTCTTCATTTTTATGAAACATTTTTTTATAAAGCAGATATTTTAAAATATGGCCTTAAATCACAGGATCATAATTTGTTATGATCTGAATTTATGGGGTAATTGTATTTAACAAAAATTACCATGCAAGGTAAAAAATGTATAAAAAATTCCATTGTACAGTGCCATATCTTCCCACTGTATTTTGTTTCTTATCTTTCTGTTCTACCTATAGTATAAAAAAGTCAAGGTTCAAACTGAGGGGGAAGATCATAGTAATAACAACACTTAACACACAGTTAATTTTCATCTTCAGAGAAGGGCAAACATGACTTTACCCTCACACCATCAAGGTGAGGTAGGGTAGGTAGGTAAGTAGCATTCAATCTATTTTTACAGAAAGGGAACTAAGGCTAAAAAAACAAAACAAAACAAAAAAACAAATACTAAGAGAGTTGAGATTAGAACCGGTAGCTCCCAAGAGTGTACTTAAGCCTGTAGACAAACACTTCCTATCTCTATGCCTTCTATTAGTGCAAAGTAATAAGTTTGATGTATGTGGGACAAAGGCAGACAAGGAAGACACTTTCACATGAACCCATGTAGCAAAGCAGTATAAGAAAAAAAAGCCTCATGCTATTTCCCCCCCCATAGGAATCCTCTAATGCAGTTTCTCCAAAACATCGTCTATATCTGTGTTTATGGCATCAATATTGAATGCTTTAAATTATACAGCTATTTGACCAATATGAAACTTTCCTCTCTCAGAGACTGTTCAATTTTTTAGCTTTGAATAAAGTTACCTGTAAACCAGTATTTATCAGTTCAACTTCCTGTTTATATTCATTTGGACAGTTGCTGCTGTTAGCTAAGTCTGCCAAAGATTAAGGCACATAGCAAGTTTTTGTATTTCAGAGTTTGGTCCTGGTGTAATAGTGTTCAAATACATTTAGGGTATCTGCTTATGTCTCAAAATACATTTGTTTGAAAAAAATGCAGCCCTTGTGAAACTGATTCTCTTAAAAAAAATATCAAACAAACAAACCAACCAACCAAGCAATCAGGAGATGAAAAGAACAACTACCACTTTGCTAGAGCAAAAAAAAGAAAAAACAAACAAACAAAACGCACACACATTTACAGAAAGCAAACTTTAAAACTCAAGAGTTCATGGCCCGATTCTGCGATTCAGTAATTTCTTACTCCAGGAGCAGTTTCCTTGTTTCCAGTGGAACTAAGACATTTTGGTATTTACTGCCCCATGAATGATTCCACTTCAGTGGGAGTTAGAGGCCTAACTAGTTTGAGAATCGGAGCTTAACCACACCATAAGGTACTATTCAACATGAATAAGAGTAACGGAATATGGCCCTCTAGTGTTCCATGATTATGATTTCCAGGAGAAAATTCCATAGCTACACTTCTGTTCTGACTGGTTAATAATGTTTAACAAACAATAGCTTAGGTTAATAGCTTACTAACAAATGTCAGTACCATTGCAAAGATAATGATAGTAACACCTGGATAAGAATTCAGCTTTCCTGCCTTATACAGACACTACAGTTCAATAGGGGCTGATCTTTTCCCTATGCAATGGGATTTGAAAAAACTTCTTTAATTCCAGAGATACAATTCTTGACTTACACTGCAGTGCCAAAAGTTGTACCAAGACCTCAAAAAACAACAACACCCCCCCCCCCCAAACCTATTGTCATGCCTCAGTGCTTTTTCTTGAGAAGAGACGAAAGAAAAGCTTTTAGGTTAGGGACAGAAATTATGTGTAAACTGGTACAAGTGATTCGAAACCAGTTCAAACCTGTAACACACCAGAAGTTCAGTGCACATAAACCACTTTCAAAATGGACAAAACTGGTTTAAGATAAACTTGGATGGATGTAGTATCACTTACCTGATTTAGGTTAAATCAGTTTGTTAACTTCTGTCCCAGATCCCCTCCAGACTCAAAATAACTCAGTCTCCCAGAATCCCAGGATGTTTTATACCTTCCCTGCAAACCCCACAAACCCCCCGCTGCAGGGTGGGTGAGCTAGCCTTGACCCAACCTGTCTATTCCTGCCACGAAAGGAGGCAAGCTCTAGCGACCCTCGGCTTCTGGCTTGGGCCTCTGAAGCCATGTGGTTGTATTTCCAGAATGAAAAGTGAATGTCTTTTCACCTGCTTATCAGTTCCATCTATGCAGCGTAGACTGACTGTGAAGACTGAATCGATTCAATTTCAGGCTTTTTGACTATCCGTACTTAGACTTAGTGAGTTGGACTGCAGACCTAGCAATAAACAAGATTCCTCTTGCAATGGAAGCGAGGTAGATCACTCACTACTGATTGAGCATTATTCCTATAGGGCAACAAGCTGCTGCAACGTGCTAAGATCTAATGAAAGCCCACTGTTATATAAAAACAGATCTAGCCCTTCTGGAAGCATCCTTTAGGGTAGAAGAAAGGATCAGGAAATTCAAGTGTTTGGAAAGAGGGGAAAAGGGGAAGACAAAACTAGATAAGCACAGCTTCATCCCAGTCTGATGCTGCTGTTGCTTCTAACTCTGCAGGAATCCTCCATAAAAATTGTGTTACAGTAATTTGGGACATAAAAGCATAGCTGGGTAGAAGAGACAGAGTTTTAGAAAAAAAACTATTCCTCCTACAGCGTTCCCTTTATGCATATCCATGGGAATCTCTTTCAGTTCTGCTCTGTGAAATTCTTTTGTGGTGGATGTTGGGATTGGCCAAGCCACAGCCTCATTGCTTCTCCAAACTGTGCCCAGCTGTCTATGGCCTCCAAAGGGCATTCACTCAACAGTGGTTGCTAGAGTACAGTGGCACTCTGGTCATGCTGCTGCCATTTGGCAATTCTTCTGACTGCTCTCTGCACTAGGATCAAGAAGTGGTATGGCAGGGGCAGGTTTCACTAACTATGCTTCCCAGACTTTCCAGTAGAGCAGGAGAATCCGTGTGGGAGGTCTGTTGATTTTCATGCCTCTTTACTTCGTATGAGTGACACAAAGGAGAGGGGGTGAATATTGCATCAAAGTTACAGGATTATGCCCTTCCAAGGTGTTTAGGTGCTTAACTCCCATTGGAGAGTAAGGGGGTTAGAAGGCTTTGTGCCTAATTTTACCTTTTGATGGCTTTCTTTGTTGGAAGGCATGACTCAACCTCCAGCTAGAAAAATGTTAAAGACACCATGCTATATTTGTTAGGGAACACCCTGAACCAGATCCACAAAGGTATCTAGGTGCCTACCTGCTGAATTAATGGGAAGTCAGATGCCCAAATACCTTTGTGGATCTGGGCCCTTTTGTCTTTTTTCCATTCAGGAGATACTAAGTGAAGTTCTTACATCCTCTAGCAAATATTTTATGACATTACAAGGTGCTAATGAGAAGTGAGAAGCAAGCTGTAATACAGCTATTTCTAATACATGAACTCTGCAGACAGGCTCGTATCACATATGGCAATTAATTTCTGGCAACTGGTTTTGCTTTTTGATCCAAACAACAGTGAACTAAAAATCTGTTTCCATTTAATTCTTGATCAGAGTGAGAAATTCGTCTCTGGATTTTGGATCCTCCCGCAAGACTCCAAGCATGGTGCTGGTGATGGTCCTGCTGTTCATTTTCTGAACCCCTCGCATAAGCATGCACACGTGTCTATAAGGTAATCAACCATAGAGTCACTGTTAATTTTAATACATTAAAAACCTGCTGTCATGATAATTAAAATGGTTTTAATTATCATGACAGTACTATAAAGGAGTGATTCTCAACCTGGGTGATGCAGCACCCCAGGTTACATTGAGAGCCTTTCAAGTGTGCCATAGGGTGTCACTCAATCTGAGCTCTTTTAGGTGTGCAAAACACATGCACAAGAAAAACTTAAAGATGTCAAATAGGAATCATAATGTCAAAAACATTCTGGTCTTTCTGAGTTCTTTGCATAAGAAGAACTGTTCTATGATTTTATTTTAGGGAAAAACTGAATGAAAAACTAAAAGCTGACATTTTCCAAGAAATACCCAAAGGCTAGGGACAGACATTACACATAAACCAGTTTAAGTGATCAGAAACTGGTTTCAACCTGTAACGGAACACATGTTCAGTATACATAAACCAGTTTGAAAATGGCTGAAACTGGTCTGAGATCAGCCTAGCTGAAAGTAGTATCAGACTTGACTGGTTTGGGTTAAACTGGTTTATGCAATGTCTGTCCCAGGCCCCCTCCTGGTTTAACTTAAACCAGACTCCCCCAGCATCCTGGCATGCTCTGTGGGTTGGGCAGGGTTCTCTGCTCTGCAGCAGGGCTGGCTCCCTTTGCTCCCTGGCTGGAGCTCTGGCAGAGACTGCAGGTGTCTGCCTGGCTTCCCCCTGCTCCCCCTCTGCCTTACATAGACACCTCTCAGCATTACCTAGCTGGCATAACCACAGGCTGGCTACAGTTTGTGCTGTGGCAGACTGGTTCCTTCCTTGGAAAAGTTGTTTAGAAGAGGTTGAACTAATGGAGAGAGGCTTTGTTTTCTGATAGCATGATAAACACTGTGCTATCAACTGTCTGCTGAGCTGCTGGGATGGGGTGGGCAAAATACAGCCTGTGGGGCCCCTAAATATTTAGAAAATTAGTATTTATCTGTCTTTGGTTCCTGTCAAAAAAGTGTCAGGAACCAGGGACAGTAGGACCCAGGGGAAACCTGGTGGGCTCCCGGAACAGCAGGGCCTTCCCGGCCCCATTGGAAGCCCCAGCAGGGACCATGTGGCTGCATGGGTAAGGGTGGGGGGACTGCGGGCACAGAAAGAGCCTGGAAGATGCCCCTCTCCTGCCCCATGGCCGGCGCTCCCTGCTGCAGCCACTTGCAGCCTGTGTGGGGTTATTCTGAGCAGGCACAGGCGGCGCCACGCGGGCTGCAAGCAGCTGCAGTGCGGGGCACCAGCCACAGGGTGGGGGAGGGGCCAGTTTTCCCCATACACAGCACCAACTTGTAACCTGCTCCCACACAGACAGCCTGGGCCCCGCACCAGCTCCGGGCTCACTCACTGGGGCTGCACCATGGCAGCAGCAGCTGCAGCACTCCTGCTTGCCGCGCTGGGCAATGTTTGCTGCTGCTGCCTGCCCGGAAATCACATGCTGGGCAGCCTAAAGTCAACAGTGGCAAACACTGTCCGGCATGGCAAGTGGCGGGGCCACTTGCAGCCCACACAGGGTTGTCCTGAGCAGGCGCCCCGTGCTGCATCCGCCTACAACCTGCATGGGGCTGCCTGTGCCTGCTCAGGACAGCCCTGTGCGGGCTGCGAGCAGCTGCAGCAGCAAGGAGCACTGGCCACAGGGTGGGGGAGTGGCTGCTTTTCCCCGTACTCAGTACCAGCTCCTTCCCTGTCAGGGAGCAGGGTGTTGGGGCTCCACACTGCCCCCTGCCTGTACCGTGGGGCTGGAGGGCACCGGGACTGAGCAGGTGCACGGGGCCCATACCAGCATCCAGGGGCCAGCACCAGTGGGGCCCAGAGCAGGGCAGCAGAAGAACAGGGTCCTAGCCAGCGGGTGCTCTATGGAGCTAGGCCAGCTCCCCCCTCTCCTTGGTGGTGCAGCCTGGCCCAGCTCCACAGACCCCTGCCAGCCTGCATCCCACTGGTGCTGGCCCTCAGACATTGGTCCCAAGATGGTGACCAGGGAGTGGGGCACCTGTCAAGAGGCAGGGCTACCCACGTGGCCCTCAACAGCTTGCCAAAACTGGGCAAGTGGCCCTCTGCCTGAAATAATTGCCTGCCCCTGTGCTAGGAGGTGCAGCGGGGGGGAACCATCCAAGGGGTGACAGTTCCGATGAGAATCAAAGAGGGCAAGAGTGCTCAAAAGCCCCCTGGCTCAAAAGGCATTCAGGAACACCTGAAAAGCCAAAAAAAAGAAGAGGCGTATACCCAGTGAAAGGGAGGGGCTATAATCAAAGAGGAGTATACCTCCATCACTCAGGTTTGTAGTGCGGCTGTCAGGAAAGCCAAGGCAGATATGGAACTAGGGCTAGCATCAAGGACAATAAAAAGTCCTTTTTTAAATATATAGGGAGTATGAAGAAAGCACCGGGTAACGTGGGGCCCCTGCGGGATATGCTTGGCAATCTGGTGGTTGCACCAGAGGAAAAGGCAGACCTTTTTAACAATTTCTATGCCTCCATTTTTTTTTGTGCAGGGACCAGGACTCCCCCACTGAGATTCAGGACAGACTCAGGAGAGGCTCCGCCAGGCCTAGGGTCAGGGAGGACTGAGTTAGGGAAGTCCTGGAGGGGCTGAACGTGTTCAAATCAGCAAGTCCAGATGCTCTCCACCCCAGGGTTCTAAGGGAATTGGCAGGGGTTATCGCAAGCCCCTGGCACAGCTTTATGAGCGCTCGTGGTGCTCTGGCCAGGTGCCAGACAACTGGAAGAAGGCCAATGTGGTCCCCATTTTCAAGAAAGAGAGGAGGGAGGACCCAGGCAACTATAGGCTTGTTAGTCTTACTTCGATCCTGGGGAAGCTCTTTGAGAAGATTATCCAGGAACACATCTGGGAAGGACCAGCGGGGGGGGACAATGCTCAGGGACAACCAGCATGGGTTCATTAGGGGCAGGTCCTGTCCGACCAACCTGATTACCTTCTACGATCAGGTCACAAAATTATTAGACACAGGTGTCGCGGTCGATGTAGTCTTTCTGGACTTTAGGAAGGCCTTTGACACCATCCCCCACCCCATTCTCAAAAAGCTGGGCAACTGAAGGTATTGATACCTACACACTCAGATGGGTCACAGATTGGCTGAGGGGCCACACCCAGAGAGTGGTGGTGGACAGGTCATATTTGACCTGGAGGGATGTGGGCAGTGGAGTACCCCAGGGCTTGGTCCTTGGGCCTGCACTGTTCAATCTCTTTATTAGCGACTTGGACGAGTGGTGAAAAGCACCCTGTTCAAATTTACAGATGATGCCAAGATTTGGGGTGAGGTGGGTATGCTAGAAGGGAGGGACCGGATACAGCTGGACCTGGACAGGTTACAGGGGTAGGTGAATGAGAATAGGATGGGATTTAGAACCAACAAGTGCAGAGTGCTGCACTTAGGCAGTAGGAACCAGCAGCATACCTATAGGCTGGGGAACTCCCTTCTCGAAAGCACAGTGGCAGAAAGAGATCTTGGAGTCATTATCGATTCCAGAATGAACATGGGCTGCCAATGTGAGGATGCAGTCAGTAAGGCCAGCTGCACCTTGCCATGCATCCACAGATGCATCACAAGCAGGACCAAGGCGGTGATCCTCCCCCTGTATGCGACACTGGTCAGGCCACAGTTGGAGTACTGCATCCAGTTCTGGGTGCTGCACTTTA